CGGTTAGACTTAACCATTGCCCAAACGTCACAAGCAAGCGGTCCTGCTCCGCACGCTCAGCTGAGGGCGCGTACCCTCCTCCCCTGAGCAGCGCCAAAAGCGCCGCATCCTCCCACACGTCAGCTGCTGCCTGCGCCTGCACCCCCGGGGTGGGGACCTCCCCACTCAGCCTCAAGTGCTGCGTCAGCTGTCACCCGCCGATCAGACACCAGACTCCCCCTTGAGTCGCCACCGCGGCGTCCTGCAGCCTCAGTGCGCGCCCCACAGTGTCCTGCAGCCTCAGCGCGCTCCCCACCGGCTCTTGCCCCTCCAGCGCCCTGTTCTGCGCGCCCCGCCGCGCTTGTCTGCGCGCGCTTTGTGCGTCCCACCGCCACAGCGCGCACCCCTCCAGCGTGCGTCCTCCCTTCTGGCGCCCCGCCAGCGCCTGCCCCTCCTCTGCGCACTCCTCCATCACATGTTCTTGCCTGCTCCCCAGGCCCACAGCTGCCCTGCGAGGCACCAGACACTGGCGCCTCTGCGCTCTCCTGGCGCGCACCTGCTGGCGCTGCCTGGCGCCTCACCTGCGCCCCCCTGCACTGCTCCCCTCGTTCTGCATGCCCCTGCCGCGCGCCTCCTGGCGTTGCCGCCGCAGCCACCGATGCTGCGCCCTGTCCCCTCACTGCAAACCGCGCCCCCTTTGTCAGGGGAGCCCACGCTAAACACAAGGCTGCCGGCCACACGAACTGGTCCCCCAACTCCCCCTCCTGGCGCACCCCCGTGCAGTCGTCCGTGCTCTCTTGAGGGAAACGACTAAGGCAATCCATTTCATTGTCCACCCCCGGCTTGTGGACAACTTCGAAGCTGAACTCACTGAGCATCAAGGCCCACCTGGCCATCTTGCGTGTCAGCTTGCTGTTAGTGAGGATCCACTTGAGCGGCTGGTGATCGCTCTCAAGCGTGAACCGCTCGCCGTACAGGTACTGGCGCCACAGTCGTACGAAATAGACTGCCGCCAGCAGCTCCCCCTCGAAGCTGCTGTACCTTGACTCTGCCCCATTGCAACTCCGGCTGCCGTACGCAACAACCCGTTCCACCCCCTTGTCATCCTCCTGCAGCAGCACCCCTCCAACGCCCTTCTTGCTCCAATCGCAGCGCACGCGGAAAGGCCTGCCCCGCTTGGGCAGCACCAACACAGGGTCCCCTTGGAGCGCCTCCTTGAGCGCCTGAAAGGCTCCCTCCTGGGCCTCGCCCCACTCCCACAATGCCCCCTTCTTGGTCAGTGCATTGAGGGGCGCCTGCAGCCGGCTGCACTCAAGAATAAACTGGCGGTAGTAGTTCACCACCCCGGAGAAGGCCCTGACAGACGTGACGTCCGTGGGGCGCGGGAGCGCCGCAATCGCCGCCACCTTAGCAACCTGAGGGGAGACAATCCCTGGCCGCAACCACATCCCCAGATACTCCACTGAATCAGCAGCGAAGCAGCACTTTTCCGGGTGGCATTTAAGCCCCACCTCCCGCAGCCGGTCAAACACGCGCTGCACCAACCCCATGTACTCCTCGACCGTTTCCCCCCCTGCCACCAGCAGGTCATCCACAAAGCTCCGGGCAAACGACTCCAGCCCCCGAAGCGTGCGGTCGATCGCCCTCTGGAACCAGGCGCTGGCGTTCCTGGCGCCAAAGGGACAGCGCTTCCAGCAGTAGAGCTTGGAACTTGACCAAAAGGCCAATTTCCTCCGGTCCTCCTTCTTGACCACTAGCTGATGGAACGCCCCCCGGATGTCAATCGTGGAGTAGAACTTCGCGTGCCCCAACCCTTCCAGTACCTCCTCTGGCAAGGGCATGGGATATCTGTCCTGGGCCGTCTGCTCGTTGATGGCGCGCAGGTCCGTGCAGAACCGCGCCAGCTTCCAGTTCCCCTCAGGGTCCTTTTTAGCCGCCATCACCGAATTGGCCGCGAAGTCACTATCACACTCCTCGATTATCCCCGCCTCCTCTAATTCCCGACACCTCTCGTCAACCAGCTCCCACTCCCTTGCGTTGTGCCTCCGCCTGCGCTCAAAGATGGGCTGCTCCGACTTGAGCTTCAGCTCTACCTCGAACAATTTAAACTCCCCGATCTCCCCCAACCCAAACGCAAACACGTCCCTGTTTTTCTCCACTATCGCCGCCACCTGCGCTCGGTCAGCCTCTCCCAGCTGACTTCCCACCGTCCACCCATCCTGCTCCAACCCCTTCACAGGGCCTGCACCTGCTGCCACCGCCAACCCCGCAGCATCCGTGCCTGACGCAGGGGGGCTCACACGGCTGGGCCCGCCGCGAGCACCCCCCTGCTCCTCCCCTCCAGCCGCCACTGCCGGCTGCCTGGTGCCTGAGACAGGGGGGCTCACACCGCTGGGCCCGCCGCGAGCACCCCCCTGCTCCTCCCCTCCGGCCGCCACCGCCGGCT